GGGGTCGTTGCAGTGAACGTCCGGTCGCAGCGAAAGTGGGTGAAAAACGGGATTAAAAAAAGACAAATAAATATCTACTTTTTGGACTTCCCTGATGTCGGGAATGATACTTCTAGAGGATACTTCTAGAGGCCGTGGCGACTTGGTATCTTTGCGTGGTGTATCTCACAGCTATGTCGGTGAGGTTCATTCTCTCGTTTGTTTCATTTTTTGTTTTCCTGTTTCCTTTCTTTAGATTTCCCTGCCAGCGAGGCAGGCCGTTTTCGTGATAAGTGCAGATGCCCTCGCTGAGGGCAACAGTCCAACTGGCACATCAGAGGATGTGTCAAGCCCCGTTTCAGGGCAAAAACACCATTTCCTTTGTTTGTCTCCTTCTGCTTTCAAGATTCTGACAACACGGGACCTTTTTTTTTTTTTTTTTTTTTTTTCCTTTTCTTGTCTTCTTGTACTTTCTAGATTCTCACGCCCTCATTGAGAGCATGCTCTCACAACCACTTCCCGTAATGTATCCAACTGCATTATCGTCACTAGCGTTGTTGTGTTTTTTTTTCTTTTTCTCTTTTTTAAGTTTTTTTTATCTTTTTTTCCTGCTTCTTCCAGGCTTGACCTGTCCGACTACTGGTACCTCCAGGCTCGGCAGGTTCGGCATACCGGTCCCCCGAGGGTCGAGCTGCATAGCTGGGCGAGGTACTGGTGGTTTAAACCACAAGTACAAACACACCCTTCAATGTCTTCATCCAAAAGTTAGCTGGAGGCCCTACTTTTCCTGTATTGACCACGGCGTGGCAACATTTTTGAGTTCGACAAAATAGGCCTGGTTGCACTGATGGTGCAATACTTCGCGAGCTTATGATCGCTGTTCGACAAAATAGGCTCAAGTGCACGGGTTCGAAAACTGACTGTTTGTAAAAAGGTTTTACAGTTCTAAAGCTGACTGGTTCACAAGGCTTGCACTCATAAAGCTGACTGTTTTGTTTGTAAGGTTTACAAGTGGTAAAGATGACTGTTTCTAAGGCTTACAAATCTAAAGCTGTTGTCCTTTGGGACATCCGTTAAAATTGGAATGATACACAGAAGATTGGCATTGCCCCTGCAGGAAAAAAAAAAAAAAAAAAAAAAAAAAAAAAAAAAAGACCTAAAGCTGGGTGTTTGTGAGGCTTTACAATACTTTGCTTGCAAAATTGACAGTTTGAAAGACTACAAATTATAAAGCTGACTGTTTGTGAGACTACAAATGATAAAGCTGACTGTTTGTCAGACTATAAAAGGTTTACAATTGGTAAAGATGACTGTTGCTAAGGCTTACAAATCTAAAGCTGAGTGTTTGTGAGGCTTTACAATACTTGCTTGCAAAACTGAATGTTTGAGAGACTAGAAATGATCAAGCTGACTGTTTGTAAGACTACAAATGATAAAGTTGACTGTGCGTGAGAGTACAAAAGGTTTACAACTGGTAAAGATGATTGTTTCTAAGGCTTATAAATCTAAAGCTGAGTGTTTATGAGGCTTTACAATACTCGCTTGCAAAGCTGACTGTTTGTGAGACTACAAATGATAAAGCTGCCTGTTTGTGAGACTACAATGATAAAGCTGCCTGTTTGTGAGACTACAAATAATAAAGCTGACTGTTTATAACACTTACAACTGTAAAGCTAGATGTTTGTGACGCTTTACATTCATAAAGCTGACTGCTTTCTTCGTATATTGTTCACAATTCTAAAGCTCACTGTTTGTAACGCTTACGATTGTAAAGCTGATTGTTCATAAGCCTTGCAATTATAAAGTTGGAAACTTGGAAAGCTTACGATGATGGTTAAGCCGCCCGTTTCCTGAAAACAGTTAACTTTGTAGCAATTTTGAGGAGATGCACACCTGCTGTAGCTGACGGAGCACAGGGACCTGCAACCCTCTGCAAGCACCTGTCCTCCAGAAAATCCTTTGGTCTGAGAATACTGGTGGCGACAAAAGGCGGGAAAGTGATCAGAAGTGCTGGCAAGTGTGCAGTAATCTATCTCACAATTTCTCGATCAGCAACGTCTATCCCGCCGAGAGTCATTCGCAAAGCACTTCTGAACCGACGGGAACCCAATTGAAGACGTCATCTCCCCTGCAAGTCTGGTAACTCTTACTGAAGGAAAACAGTCAGGACACCCTCACACTAGGAGTTTTCAAACTGATGTTTGGACGTAATTGCGGCTAGATACATACAGGACTGGCGATAATTAAGCTCAGAGACATACAAGACACGCCGTAATTGCCATCACAAATAGTCAGACATGAAAATCTGAGTGTGAATACAACCTCACTTGCACCTATTCCAAAATGTCACATGGAAAAGGTACGAAAGAATCAAAGCAACTAAAATACGCAGTCTCCAGTGGCTCATGGTCTACGCTGCCCCCCCCCGTCATCAAATGGCTGCACGAGCCGAGGAGACACTCAGACCCCAGTAGCTCTCCCGCCTGCGCTGCACTCCCTGTGAACAATGGCCGCACGAGCAGAGGAAACACACACCCCAGTGGCTCTCCAGCATGCGCTGCGCTTCCCATCAACAAATGGCTGCATGACTGAAGGAATCATTCAGACCCCAGTTAGCTCTCCAGTCTGCGTTGCACTCGCCGTCAACAAATGGCTGCGCGAGCAGAGGAAATACTCAGACCGTAGTAGCTCCCCAAAATGCAAAAAAGCTCACTCACGACAGACGAGGACATAACACATCGCCAAATGAAATGCTCAGAGGCCCTCTGGTGCTTCAATCAGACCTCCAAACTCTGGTTTTCCCTATTCACTACCCCTCCCCCTATTTCAGAACTGAGTGGCCTCAGGTAATTCCCAATGGCTTTATTCTATTTCATGTGGTCGGATCCGGAACACGGGTCTGTATTTCAACAGTTCATGGGTGTACCAACTGAGCTAGGCCCGCAGGTGCCGGACTAACAACCCTGCTACCTTCTGCACCCGATTACAACATACGGTCCGTCATTATTGCTGTATTTAGACAGAAATGCACCCCAAATACAGCTATAATGACCGTACGTTGTACTTAGGTGAAGTAGGTAGCCATCAGAATCCCTTTCGTCCTCCAGGGGGTAGTGCAGTGCTGGTACTTGGTATTCAGGAAAGTTACACTTTGGACTATCTGGAAGAGAAGATGCATGCTGACCATAGCGGGCCAAGAGATGGACAAAGACACAGCCTCGATACACCTGATCGACCTGGTGGAAGCAGAAATCCCGTGCAAATGGTATTAAGACTAAGCAGTCTCGGGTAACCCATCCGGAGCCCTTTCAAAAGAAATAGGAAATTTTCTCTCACAAGTGGCTCCTGGGACCTGGGTGGTAAAATCGCTTCAATTGACAGGACGGAGCTGAGGTGGAATAAGTGGGACACCACCTGAGTACGTGGCATGAAGGGTTTCCGCTGGGTACCCGAGAAACGCCTGAGGCATACGGGTCTTGGATTGGAGCTGTTTTGGCAAGCTCAACATGAGCTGAGATTGAGAAGAATTCTTTGCTTCTGGCAATGTCACAGCTAATCTTTCTCCTGGGAGCAACCAATGCTTAGACAGAACAAAGTGTGGTGTCGTGTCTTGTTGTACTTCTTGTACTTGCCGGTGGAGTGGAATCGGTCTGACGGTCCCAGAATGGAGAAGGAGCCAGGACCATAAGGACATGTTTTACCCGAAAAAAAACAAAAAAAAAACTGAGCAGGGCTGGTTGGTTTTGGGAATTGTCCCATCGATTAATTTTGTATGGGACTTCCATTGGACAAAACACACTCTTAAGTAGTGTTCATGCTGGCCCGAAGGGTACGAAGTACTACAAACTTACAACGATGCCCTCTTCGTTTCTTTTCTGGTTCATTACAGGCGCCTTCTTCAAGATGCTGGAGGTATGGTATCACGCTCGGGTCGCCTCCCACCTCACCCTGATCCCCATTGGTCCCTTGTTCGGAGATGACCCTCCTGAGCACTATTTTGTTTCTAGTATAAACCTTGCGCCCCACAAGCCTCTCACCAGGCAGAAGAAGACCACGTACATCGTGAGTTCGGGCTGGAAGGAGCGCTGGTCCCTCATTTGGAGATGACCCTCCTGCGCTCTATTTTGTTTCTAGCATAAACCTTGTGTCCCGCAAGCCTCTCACCAGGCAGACGAAGACCACATAGATCCTGAGTTCGGGCTGGAAGGACCGCTGCGGGTCCAGTAAGACCCAGACAAGGAAGGCCAGCGGAGACCCAATAGGGCGCAGCCGACACAGGAAGACTCAGGCAGAATGGGAGCCGGCCCTGGTATATAGCGAAAGCCGAGGCAGGTCAAAGCCATTTGGAAAATTTTGGATGCACGATGCTGCCATCTGCAAGAGCGCGAGATCAACAGCACACTGTACAGGAGTAGGTGGTGTTCATAACTTCATACCCCCTGATAGAGAGACTAGCAAGGGCTGAGAAGTGTTACTGTTGTTGTTGTACTGACTGTTGGGAGGCGAGAAGAGGGCTTTTCGCCTCGCCAACAAAAAGTCTTCAACATTGATCTGTAATTGTGCAAAATACATGTGGCCATTGCTCTGTCGTGTCTGCTACAACATGTAGTTGGGTCGCCATATGAGTGCTGGTCAAGCGAGTTCATCTTAGTTCTGATTGGAGTTTCTCTCTGGACGGGCCTTCTTTCCAGGGGAGAAACAAACAAAAGTGATAAAAGAAACTCCTGAGGAGGAGGTGTGCAAGCAAGTTTATTTTTCAGAATAAGAAAAAGAACAAAAAAACAACCCAAGAGGGCAACTGACAACACATTCACGATTGGGCTTTATTGCATCTACTTGGCGACAATTATGCCCAAATTCAGTAAAAAGAAATTGTAGTGTGAGCATGCCCTGAAAAGTTGATCTCTCTCTCTCTCTCTCTCTCTCTCTCTCTCTATATATATATATATATATATATATATATCGTCACTGAGGGAAAAGAGCTGAGGAAGAGGGGCAAAGATGTGAAGGGGAAACTTAACTGAGTCAAGAAGGCTTCTCCCAAATCTGACAAAAAGAATCTGCATGGCCTCTTCAGCTGACACAGTCCCTTTTCCCTCCTTATCATTCATCAGAAACTCAACCACGTCGAAAAGCCGTCTTGGTTCGTTGCCTTCACGGTTGATCACATCAGACAAAATCAAACCTTCAGGCATTTATTTTTTTATTTTTCTTTTACATTTGTAAAGATGGGCCCTTGCATTGTTGCATGCCTTTAGCCGTGTGGGCCTTACGCATTTTCTTTTCTT